AGTTAGGCATACTGAGACCTTGCCAGTCAGCGTGGAATACCCCCCTATTACCAGTCAGAAAACCAAATCGACTGACTACCGACCAGTCTAAGACTTGCGTGAGGTAAAGAAGCAGGTGACAGATGTACACCCAACGGTCCCAAATCCGTACACCCTCCTCAGCTCATTGCCTCCTACCTGAACCTGGTATACAGTCCTAGATTTAAAGGATGCCTTTTTCAGCTTGCCCCTGACACCTAAGAGCCAAAACATCTTTGCCTTCGAGTGGACGGACCTGAAAAAGGAATTAGCGGCCAGCCTACCTGGACCAGGCTCCCCAAGGATTCAAGAACTCACCCACCATCTTCAATGAGGCCCTACATGAAGATCTAAGTGAGTTCTGATCTAAACACCCAGAATTAACTCTTTTAAGTACATATATGATATCCTGGTAGCCACTGAAGACCAGGAGATATGCCTGTGAGGCACCAAGGACATGCTTTCTACACTAGGAGCCTTGGGTTACCAAGCCTCAGCCAGAAAGGCCCAAATCTGCAAGACAGAGGTAAGCTATTTAGGCTATAAATTAAAAGGGGGACAGAGATGGCTCACAGAAGCAAGAAAAGAGACTGTCTTAAGAATACCGCGCCCACAAAATGTCTGCCAAATGCATGAATTCCTGGGATCCGCAGGATACTGCCGATTGTGGATCCCAGGTTTTGCGGAAATAGCTAGATCCCTTTATGAAGCCACCAAAGAAAAACAGGAGTTTACATGAACAGAGACCATGGAGAACTCATTCACTAGTCTTAAGCAGGCCTTACTCTCTGCACCTGCACTGGGGCTCCCTGATTTAACCAAACCTTTCTACCTGTATGTAGATGAAAGTAAGGGAGTGGTGACAGGGGTGCTAATACAGTACATTGGCCCATGGAAAAGGCCCATAGCTTATTTCTCCAAGCCGCTAGACACTGTTGCCACTGGATGGCCCCCCTGTCTGTGAATCATCACTGCAGTAGCTACCATGGTCAAAAATGCAGACAAACTAACACTAGAACAAGAATTAAATGTCACCACCCCACACGCAATCGAAGGGGTGCTCAAACAGCCACCAGACAGGTGGATAAGTAATGCCCAACTAACGCATTACCAAGGACTGCTCTTAAATCCTGCCAGAATTCTGTTCCACACACCCGTGTCGGTGAACTCAGCCACCCTCCTCCCCAACCCAGACTGGGAGGCAGCATTCCATGACTGTGGGGAGGTCCTGGCTCATGTTCACAGAGTCAGAACTGACCTGTGAGATCAGCCACTGGCAGAAGCAGATGCCACCTGGTACACCGATGGAAGCAACTTCATGCAAGACAGAGTAAGATATGCAGGGTTGAGACAGAAACTGTCTGGGCTGAGCCACTGGCTCCAGGAACTTCAGCCCAGCGGGCAGAGCTGATCATGCTGACCAGAGCATTGACTATGGCCAAAGACAAACGCCTTAATGTCTATATGGACAGTAGGTATGCATTTGCCACTGCCCACATACATGGAGCCATCTATAGAGAGGGGAAGCTATTGACTGCCGAAGGAAAAGCCATCAAAAATAAAGAAGAAATTCTTGACCCCCTACCCGCCCTTTAGCTACCCAAAGCACTGGCAATAATTCGTTGCCCAGGCCACCAAAAGTCTGACACCTGGGTTGCCAAAGGAAATAAATTGGCTGACCAATGTGCCAAACAGGCAGCCCTTTCTGTGGACCATGCCCTAGTGACCACATTGCCAGACCCAGGGGCCCCCAGTCTGCCAGACACCCCCTCCTACACTGATGAAGACAAAATGGATCAAGCAGCTGCCCATGACCAACTACCTAGATGAGTGATGGAGAGCCACCGACTGCATCATTCTACCGGAAGAGTTAGGATGATGCATCCTAACCAAAATGCATTGGGCTACACACATGGGGATGAGAAAAATGGAAGACTTGGTGTGACATGCTTGCATCACTATCAAGGACTCTCAATCAAAAATTGGACAGATCATAGCAAGCTGCAAGGCTTGCCAACTGACAAATGCAGCCGCCTATGCGCCCAACCCTGGTGCCAGACTCTGAGGACAGTAGGTATGCATTTGCCACTGCCCACGTAGACAGGCCAGGCGTCTATTGGGAAGTGGATTTCACGTAGGTAAAGCCCGGAAAATATGGGTACAGGTATTTGCTAGTGTTTGTAGACACTTTTTCATGTTGGATCGAGGCATTTCCCACCAAGCATGAGACAGCGCAGACCATGGCCAAGAAACTGTTAGAAGACATCCTGCCAAGGCACAGTTTTCCTGCCAGGATAAGCTCAGACAGTGGACCAGGATTTGCTTCCAAGGTAACACANTAGGTAAAGCCCGGAAAATATGGGTACAGGTATTTGCTAGTGTTTGTAGACACTTTTTCATGTTGGATCGAGGCATTTCCCACCAAGCATGAGACAGCGCAGACCATGGCCAAGAAACTGTTAGAAGACATCCTGCCAAGGCACAGTTTTCCTGCCAGGATAAGCTCAGACAGTGGACCAGGATTTGCTTCCAAGGTAACACAGGGAGTAGCACAGGTTCTTGGGGCAGATTGGAAATTACATTGTGCGTATAGGCCCCTAAGTTCAGGACAGGTAGAAAGAATGAACAGAACTTTAAAAGAGACCTTGACTAAATTAGCCCTAGAGACTGGCGGAGACTGGGTGACTCTCCTCCTCTTTGCCCTTTATTGGGTGCATAACTCCCCGTATAAGATGGGACTTCCTCCCTTTGACATCATGTATGGCATTCCTCCACCTATTATTCCCACTCTCAAACCCAAAGTACTTGCTGAACTTGATGATCACCAATTCCTTTTTTCCCTCCAAATGTTGCAACGAACCCATGAGCAGGTCTGGCCTAAGCTGAAAGCTCTTTATGAGACCGGACCCCCTCCAGAACCGCACCGCTATCGTCCAGGTGACTGGGTGTACGTCCGGAGACACCAACACCAGACACTTCAACCACGCTGGAAGGGACCCTACATCGTGATCCTGACCACTCCCACCGCTCTCAAGGTCAACGGAATTACTCCCTGGGTCCACTGCACCCACATCTGACCAGCTGACCCACACGCCGTTCTCAAGAACTTTGTTCCAAAATGGAAAAGTCAGCTGGACAAAGACAATCCTCTAAAGCTAAGACTGCGCCGTTCTCACCTATCCCACTAATGTTACTTATACTATGCCTTCCTCATATCAAAACCAGCAACCCTAACCCCTATACCCCCTATCAACTCACATGGGAGGTGATGAACTGGGAAACGCATGAAGTATATAACAGCACTTCCCAAGAAGCCCCATTAAACACGTGGTTCCCTGACTTGTACTTTAACCTAGACAAGGTGGCAGACATTGAAAGAATGGAAGGGGGAAACTGGCGTAAAGTACAGCGCCGGGTCTCTGTGAGTCGAAATGGGTTTTATGCGTGCCCTGGGTTTCGAAAAGGATCAGAGAGACTTCAGTGCGGAGGAGTTGAGTCCCTTTACTGTGCACAGTGGAGTTGTGTTACCACCAATGATGGAGAGTGGAAGTGGCGAGTGACTCCCCAGCTCATCACTCTCTCATTTATTAGGCCATGCACCCGAACTTGGTACAATTATAACTGTAATCTAATCAGGCTCCAGTTCACAGAGAAGGGAAAAAGAGATAAGCGATGGCTGTCAGGGTTAACTTGGGGCCTATATCTCTATCAGAGACCTAGTTTTGGAACTGTTATCCAGATCAAATTAAAAGCTGAGCCAATAGTTAAGGCGGCCATAGGTCCAAATAAGGTATTAACAGAAGAGAGCCCTAAGGAACCCAAAATCATAGCACCTCCACCGTCCACTGGGACACCCAGGCCAGGGCTGGTAAATACATATACACCCCCACATCCTAAAAACGAAGGCCCTTTATGAGAACTACTTCTTGCTTCATATCAGACTTTAAATGCTACCAACCCAAATGTTACCAACGCCTGCTGGCTCTGTTACGATATGAAAC